TCATGAGAATGGCCTTCAAGTGTTGATATGCTTGTTCAAATCCTATTTTCATCTGCCACTTGTGAGGATAGTGTAGCGTCGCCGAAGCGTCCCAAACTCGAGATTTTCACGGTGCTAGTGAAAATCCTCCATCGTCTGATTTCATCATGTGTGCAAAGGCAGGCTAGTGTTGCTGTTGTTGGGATTGGGATTGAGGCAAGTGGAGGAGATAACATTGGATGACTTTGATATGGTGGTGCTTCTCGAGCACCCAGTCTCGGGCTCCAGGGTGAAAACCTAGGTTTGACCCTACTTTTTTGTTAAAAGGCGTTTTATTATTTAATAGGTTTAAGTATTACACCCAGCCTCTACATAACTAAGATGCACACAGCCAACCAAGTCCAAACACAGAAAGTAAAAAAAAAAAGGGCGAAATACAAGTGATCATCAAAAGACCGTAAGACGCTTAAACCGTGGGAGGGTCAATCCTAATATCATGCTGCCATTCATGTCATTTTTACGCCATTACCCCTACTTGGGTTTACTTGGCAATGCCGGCATTTTTACGCCATTACCATGTTGGTGGCATTGCTTAGAGTTTGCTCGGACATGAACTTGATGGTGAAAACCCACGATCCGCTCTTCGGAGGTTGGATCCGACGATGACAACGCTTGAGTGTCGTTTCCTTCTTGAAAGCATTGCATTTGGAAAACTTTTCTCATATTCCTCATGTTGCCAAGAGGATAGTTGATGCTGATGGTCATTGTTGCATGTCGTGCGAATTACCAGACAACTTGTTTTGTCTCATAATCCTCTCTTTATCGGGTGATGAATTACCACACAGTGTATCATTACCAGACAACTTATTTTCCTCTTTTTTCTTCTTCTGCGGGAACACTTAGCACAAAGTATGGGCCTCTCACGGACGACTGAAAGATCAGGGGCGCCAATCCAGCCCAGCGACCCGGTTTGAATTCCTCAGTTGCTTCCAAAAGCGGCGGCAATTTGGCGACCTCACTAGTGGATCGGGGTGGAGCGCCACGCTCCCCAGTCCTCCTGAAACAGACGTGTGCCGAACCCACGCATGCACGCTCACCGGTAGTGCCACGCACACTAGCCACTTCTTCCATTCGTAGATAGCTGCAGTTTGCCGGCGTGAATGGCCAGAGATCCATCCTTGGACGTTGGACCCATACGGCGCAGACAGGATCGCGGGACGTCGCTCGCCGCCTTCCGCGCTCCGTTGGAAAAGGGAGCTCCCCGACGACGCCGGCCGTAGCTCTCGCACGCACGGAAAATTCAGTCGGAAGCTGCTGACTGGCATCGGATGAGAGGACGAAGCCACTGGTACCATACGAAAATCCAAATACGTACCGGACTAGGAACACCAAATACAAACAGGCCTACAGTGCTGCTGCAAGAGGTTTCTGGATTTTCGAGACTGAAATGTTGAACACGCATGTGTTTCAGGCTTGGTTATTTCCACGCGAATCGTCCGACTGACAGATACCTCAAATTCTGAATGCAGAATAGTTAACCTACCAAGTGGCCAGCATCATCCATCGTATACATGCCAAGTAGTAGACGATGGAGGGGCCTTTTTAGCTGCTGCGCGCGACGTCACTGCCGCACTCACTCACTATCCAGTATCCACCAGTCACCCGAGGATCATTCTATTTTTGACAAGATCCGGCCCTTTTCGCGCCATGCCAACCGGGCCCGTCGGCTCCCGTGGAAAATTTCAAGAACCCAACGAGCAACGCCGCCTGCTGAAAACGATCGGATTATGGATCCATGCATTGCATGTTTGGTGCGGGGTCGGCGTCGCCGTTAATTGTTGAACGGATGGATTGTTTTGCACTGTTTGCATTTGCAAACTGACAAGTGGAGTACCGGCCAGCTGTGGTGATGGAGCCATCTTTATCTTCAAGTAGAGAATCTGGCATCATGGCCATCTCTAACTTACAAAGTTCTTAAATGCCGGGACTGTTCACTAACCCTCGCTTGAATACCATTAGCAGTTGGAGGTAGATGTCTGACAGCACACTGAAAAGTACTTGCTTGTTATGTACTCACTCCGTTTCATACTAGTTGTCGCTGATTTAGTTGTTCTTTATATTAAATCAGCGACAACTAACGTCTGCTTCCTCGAACTTCTCTTCGGGGTGGAACCCATGATCCAGCCTTGGTGGTGGTTCCAGTGACGATGGTGTTCACACACCCCCCCTTGCCAGAAGACATTGTTGTTGGAGCACTCATCCTGTTACCCTAGTGTTGACGTGTAATGTGCTGCCTAGTCTCTTCCATTAGATCAGTCTTTGGGTTGCATTGACTAGAGCATGCACTTCTACATGGTATCGGAGCCAAGAGGTCTTGAGTTCAAGACCCGGCTGAAGCAATTAAATTGCAGCCCACTTTCGGTCCACGTTTAGGCCCGAGGGACGCACACGTGAGGGGGGTGTTGACGTATAATGTGCTGCCTAGTCTCTTCCATTAGATCGGTCTTTTGGTTGCATTGGCTAGAGCATGCACTTCTACACCTAGGTTGCCATCGTTGATGATTGATGTTGATGTTCGCCGCGGTTCCTCCGTAGGTCATCTTATTGCATTTGTAATAATTTAGCTGTGTAAATCATTGATTTCTCCACTAGCTCTTGACATTGTGTTGGTGGGGCGGATTAACGAGCTGCTTGGCGCATTATTCTCATGCTTGTTAAGGCTGGACTCATTAAGCTCGGTAAACTTAACGAGCAGAAAACCATTCCCAACTCGGTTCATTTGAGAAGCTTGTTAAACTCGCGAGCTCTTGTTAACATGCATTACATTACCGTGACTCAATTTTCTACTCCCGGGTGCACCTACACCCACATGAACAATAATTTAAAAAAAATACAAAACAAAATCGACAAAAATCTGAAATTTTGTGACATCAAATGAGATCAAAAGTTTTCGCTTCTTGCAAATTTCCGTCCACAAATAAAATTCGAGGAGCCCTCAGCAAAAATCACAAAATCAGTGTTCAAAGTTTTGTGCACTTTTGAGCAGTGATTTTTTTGTGAGGGCTCCTTGAATGTTATTTGCTCACAAAATTTTGCAAGATGCTAAAACTTTTGGTCTGTTTGATGTAAAAAAAATTCAGTTTTTTGTCATTTTTTTTATTTCCTGAATTTACTGTTCATGCGGGTGCACCTACACCCGGGAGCAGCCACACCTTTCTCTTACCTTATTTTACTTCAGCTGTGAAGTTGCAACATGTGGGATGAGAGTAGGGTGTGATTTTTATGAAGGGATACCATAGAGGGTGTGTGTCAGGTGCTACCTCCAATGAGATAGGTGTGGTCAATTAAATTGAATAAGTGGGTTAAGATGCATTGATATACTATTACTTAAGATAAAAATCTTTGTTCTGGAGTATAACCAGCTTTACAAGTTACTCATGAAACTTGTTAGTTGTTTTGTTAAGCTCGTTAAGTTTGATAAGCTGAAACCAGTGATTCACTATGTTCATTAAAAAAGTGAACTACATGCTTAACTAGTCGAGCTATGGAGTGCTCATTTAACATGCGAGGTACAAGATTTTGGTCCAGCCTTAGATGCTGAGACCGGCGTAATTGATATCCTCTTGATATATGTTCTCTTTATTAAAAAGATGGAAATATCTCGGTACCCTGCAATGGACCAGTGATCAACTTGTGATCCCATGTTTCTAGCAGTCATAGTTTCTGTATAACTCACGAGATACGAGATTTTGGTGCATCCCTAGATGCATAGACTGATGTAATTGATATCCTCTTGATTTTAATACAGAGGTAATAGGTATTAACCTCAAGGATGGAACTATACATGCAGTGAAAAAAAGGACAAGCACATGCAGGATGCGTCCTTGCAGATTAGTAACGGTATAAAACATATTGCTTTTGTCTCCACCTGTATATGTCAATCACTGAAATTGGTTACTAACCCTTCTAGCAGAACCCCAAACACCCGGCCAAATTTCTCATGTCTGACTGTCTGGCTGGCATGCTACCTGTTAACAACCACATGTGTTCAGTGGAATAACTGAAATTTTCTTTTGCTCCAACGTAGTATAATGTTTATGATTCAGGACATCTTCCAAGTTCAGGTCCCTTGCTGCAGCTCATTGGCCATCTCTATCTAACTTATAAACATCTTAGATGCCGGCACTGTTCACTGACCCCGCTTGAATACCATTAGCAGTTGGAAGTCGACGTGTGACAGCACACTGCATGCACACGGGACAAAATTCAGGTTGTCAATTACTCCCTCTGTAAAGAAATATAAAAGCGTTTACATCACTACTACATCAGTGATCAATGGCAGTGAGACTCAACTGATCACTTTGTCAAAATAGAAAAATAATTGGTTGTTGGATGATTAACTGACGGATAGATAAAAAGGTGGTATCTCTAAAAAAACATGCATGGTATTGGTACCTCTCTGCAGTATACGTAGTATTTTTTTGTTTCCATTTGCACATCCCAATCACTCCACATCAAATATTGACCTTTCTCGCAGAATCTGAACTCCCGGACAAATTTTGCATGGCTGGCATGCTACCTGTTAACAACCACATGTGTTGGGTGGAAGAATTATTTCGCTCGGACACAGTAATGCTAGCTTATGATTCAGGCAAATAATGCTGCCCATTTCCCATCTGCAACTAATATTCCGAACCATTTGGAGAGCTAAGATGATTGTGAGCTTGTGGTGCCTCTGTCACAACCCTAGCTTGCTAGCTAACCAATAGATTTCCCATTGTTCATTGTCGTTGCACTACGAACACCATGCCAACCATACTATATGGATCTCCAACCAAAAAAGATGCAGCATCAAACCACTAAAAATTAAACAGTGTCGGTTGTCATGTTACACCAAATGGAGAATGGCTTGAAATGTGTCAGCTATATAAACAGGTGTATGTGGTCATGGTAATGCAGGTCATTACACAGAGTTTTCATCTGAACAGGGTTAGTGCCTGCTTGTACACAGAAGAATAGTGATGGCAATGGCAATGGCCTCTAGTCTGTCGGTGCTGTTGCTCCTGTGCCTAGCGGCGGCCACCTCGGCGTTCCCGCAGCTTTCGCCTCAGTTCTACGCCAAGTCGTGCCCCAGGGCGCTTGCAACCATCAAGAGCGCCGTGACCGCCGCCGTGAGGAGGGAGCCCCGCATGGGAGCGTCGCTGCTCCGCCTGCATTTCCACGACTGCTTTGTCCAAGCAAGTCCCTCTCATCTATCGTGTCCCTTTAATTACTTACTACTCTCGTACTTTTATATTGCATATATTACTGCTTGTACTTAATTTAGTTGGTCTCCTAGTCACACCGTGGTCAAACTCATGACAGTATCAAAAAGCTAGTGGAATGGAACACTGCATATATATGTAGGAGTACCTAAGTGGAGTAGTCACAAGTTGACTCCAGTCATGCATGCATGGCCATTCTAATTAATCTGACTTTTCAACTCTTTCTTTACATGACTTTTCTTTTTTGACGGAGCTACGGCGGGCTTACGCCGGCCTGAACCATTTCATTATAAGATAGAGTACATTTACAAAGGTGAGAGTTGGGGGCGAGGATGAGATTACAAGAATAGTTGGGTTACAATCTCATAGATAAGTGGAACAACATAGTACACCAATCACGCAGAAGGTTCACGGCCTGCCCGTTGAAGCATCTGTTGGACCAAAGCATGAGGTCGTCTGCAGCTGAGCGGGCGATGAGGTGGATATGTTGCAAATCCTGCCTAAAAACCTTTGCATTTCTTCTTTTCCAGATATTCCAGAGAATAGCAATGATGATACATGACTTTTCAACATTCTTCAGTTCAAATCAATTATAACAGAATTAGAATGTACTACTACTGAATTTATCTTGACGGAAGAAATTTCTTATGTGCGTGACGCATGATGCATCAGGGCTGCGACGCGTCCGTGCTGCTGAGCGACACGGCCACCTTTACGGGCGAGCAGGGGGCAGCCCCGAACAACAATTCCATTCGAGGCATGAACGTCATCGACAACATCAAGGCGCAGGTCGAGGCCGTGTGCAAGCAGACTGTCTCCTGCGCCGACATCCTCGCCGTGGCCGCCCGTGACTCCGTTGTCGCCGTAAGATCGACCAGGCCGTGTACTTGCAGTCAATTTGCTGAACGCACGCGGCAGTAAATTAACTGACTTGGTTCTTTACTAATCGCTTGCAGCTGGGAGGGCCTTCGTGGACCGTTCCTCTGGGGAGGAGGGACTCGACAACGGCGAGCCTTTCCCTGGCCAACAGCGACCTGCCTGCACCGTCCTTCGACGTTGCCAACCTCACCGCCAACTTCGCCGCCAAGGGGCTCAGCGTGACCGACATGGTCGCCCTCTCTGGCGGCCACACCATCGGACAATCGCAGTGCCGGTTTTTCAGGAGCAGGCTCTACAACGAGACCAACATCGACGCGGCCTTCGCGACATCTCTCAAGGCCAACTGCCCCCGGACGACCAGCTCCGGCAACAGCAGCCTGGCGCCGCTGGACACGACGACGCCCAACGGGTTCGACAACGCGTACTACAGCAACCTGATGTCCCAGAAGGGGCTCCTGCACTCCGACCAGGTGCTGATCAACGACGGACGCACCGCCGGCCTGGTCCGGACGTACTCGTCGGCGTCGGCGCAGTTCAACGGGGACTTCGCGGCGGCCATGGTGAGGATGGGGAACATCAGCCCGCTCACCGGAGCGCAGGGGCAGATCAGGCTAAGCTGCTCCAGGGTGAACTAAGCCACCAATCTAGAATCAAGGGGCGATCAAAGGCGACATAATAAGGCTGTGGACTTATTGTGCTTGTGTTCTGCCATTTCTCGGATCATCATCAAGTGTGGGAGAGTAGATGGGGTGTGATGTGATGTATCTCAACTCTCAAGTGTTTCCCTTTGCTTAATTATTATATGCCCAAGTGCACATAACTTTTGTTTCTAAAAAACACGTTTGTTTCTGACGAATTCTACAAGCTTTAGTTTTCCATACACTTTTGGGACAAACCAAAAAACACCCCCTCCATCCTAATAAGTTGGAGGTCTTGCTCCCTCCCCGTTCCTAAATTCTAAATACAATTTTTAGCAAGAGGAAGTTTCCTTCCCTAAAGCCAGCTCCCGCCACCGGCCACATCTCTTGTCACCCCGTCGGCTCTGGCAAGTCGAGTCAGCCGCACTGACTACACACCGCCCATTCCTAGCCCCACAACTACCTATCTCCGCCTTCAGAGCATCCTCCCACTGCCACCAACTCACTATCGGAATCAACCAGTTTGACGAGTGCCGGAAACTTTTCCAAAAGAATTTTTGTCGGGCACTCGGTAAAGTCACCAGCCAAAACTGAGTGCCAGATAAAACCCTCAGAAAAGGCAGGACACACGGCAAAGTCATTGTTTTTGCCGAGTGTCCAATATTGATAGAGTCCTGGATTAGGGCATGCTCGGCATGTCGGTTGTCCGATCTATGGGCCAGACCGAAGACCCCGTAAGCCAGTCAGCTGGTGGGCCTCGTTCGTTTGTTCCAAGAAAGCCAAGAAGGAATGATCCGAAGACTTGGCATGCACCCCAAGGTTTTGGGGTAGTCTCCAGCGTATTTGCCCCTAGGTACAACCGACTTATGTGTAACCCTAGGCACCCCTGGTATCTGTTAAACCGAGGTGCCAGGACCGTAGGGGACAGATTCATTCACATACGATCTCGCGGTGAATCACATGTACTTTGTACCCCATCCATAATCAATACGAGCAAAGCAGGATGTAGGGTTTACCTCTTCGAGAGGGCCCGAACCTGGGTAAACACATGTGCTCCTTGTGTCTTTCTTACCATCACGACTACCAGATTGGGACCCTCTACCCAAGATCTGCCAGATTTAGCTTCGACAAATACAATTGGCAAAGTTTATGACACTCGGCAAAGGGGTGGACATGTGTCCCTGCTTGCCTGGTTGACATATTTTCTTCACGTAAACTTTATTCTCCAGTGTTGAAAACTCTCCCCTATGTGAAATACGAGGTACAATGGATCAATGTGGTTGAAATACAAATAATTATGAGTATTTATCTTATGAAATACTGATTCAAAATGAACATATGAAGGTGTATAATGGCTAGCGATCTATGAAAAATGGTAATTGTGAGGGGTCATCTCAGCGGCCCCAGTGATGCTCTGACGTGGATATAGAAACTTCAAGCTGAGGTGGAGACCTTGTCTAGCGTTTGACCAGGCTTCTGGAAGTAACGCCCATGGGTGCCGTATCGTCCTTGAAGGACTCATTGTGACTTCTTTGTGCCCTCCTTGTAGCTTTGGGAGAAATCATACGTCCTCTCGAATTGAATGGTGGCGGTCTTTCGGTGTCTTGTCAGTCTCGAAGCCACCAACTAGGCTCCTGCATTAGTGTAGAATCAGGCTTTAGTCCTGGTTCATAAGGACCTCTAGTTCCGGTTCTGCAACCGGCACTAAATGATGGGGACTAAAGGTCTTCCTTTTGTCCTGGTTCAACATGACCCGGGACCAAAGGCCCACCACGTGGCACGAGCCTGCGCCCAGGGCTGGGGGATCTTTAGTCCCGGTTGGTAACACCAACCGGGACTAAAGAATTTTTTTTTTGAATTTTGTTTCAATTTTTTGAATTAGTTGACAATTTAATCTCTAATCACCCCTCATCACTGGTCAAGTGTGGAGCACTCATTCCAAATCGTCTAACTTCCTCACCGGTCACCCATCCCTCTCACTACTCCAGCCTGAGCACACTTAACTTTCGAGTTCTATTCCCCCTAGTTTTCAAGTCAGCACTTGTTGTTTTCCCGACAATAGTAAGTTGTCAATCCTATTAACCCTTAGGAGTATATCTCGAGCATGAAGTTACCGTTTGAGTTTGAAACTATTATTATAAAAAAATTATTTATTAACACTAATATTTATTGAATAAGTAGTTTGACCAAAGTTTGACCAAAATTCAAAAAAACTGAAATTTTAGCATAACTTTTTTTCCTTTCAGAATTTTAGGATTCTAAAAGTTTGCAAAACGGCCTACGGCGGTCGAAATCGGAACCGGCTTTTCGTGCTGAACATTTTGATATATTATACATTTTTTTGACATTCACTAGTAGAAAGCAGGGCTTTGGTCCAGGCAGGGAAAGCCCATTAATCTCGGTTCACCCATGAACCGGGACCAATGGGGGCATAGGTCCCGGTTCATGAGGCCAGGGCGGGGGCTCGGCCTCGGGGGCCATTGGTCCCGGTTCGTTTGAGACTATTGGTCCCGGTTCCAGACACAAATCGAGACCAATGGACCTTGCTCCTGGCCCACCACCTTTAGTCTCGGTTGGTGTCTGGAACCGGGACCAAAGGTATTTTTTACCCAAATAAAACTAAAAAAAACTATAATATTCTACAATAGCAAAAAGAATCAACTAAAAAGCTTTAATAAAACTCTAATAGGAAAAGGAATCAACTAAGAAAATCAATAAAAATAAAATTTATGCAACTTAAATTAGATAAAATTTATGCAACTAAAAAGAATAATTTGTAGTATTATTGAAACTAAAATTATATAAAATTTATGCAACGAAAATTATCAAAGTATTTTCTGTTCAAAACATTATAAGCAAAATGAATTTTCATAAAGATCTTTTTTGTTAGAAACTTTAATAGCAAAAAGAATTATCATAAAGATTTTTTGATAGAAACTAAAATAACCAAAACTGTTTTTGAATATAATAATAAAACACAGTAATATTAAACAGAAAGAAAAAGAATCAGTCCAAAAACTATTTTTATAGTAAAGTTAATCACAAACTAGTGATTCACACAAATTTCAAAGAATTCAAATTTAAACCATTCAAATTTGAAAACTAATGGCACTAACAGAAAGTTTATAATTTTTCTGACCTAAAAGCAAAAAGAATTAAAAAATAAAGAAAAAACAAAAGAAAATAAATAATGGAAAAAAGAAAACAAAAATAGTGGGAAAAATTAAAAAATGCCGCCTATTGGGCCATCACGACCTGAATACGACTAGAAACCCAACCGGCCTGTTCGGCCAGGATTCAGGCCCGCAGAAGGCCCAGCAGGCCCACAGGCAGATACAGAGTGGTTAGGCCCGTAAGCTTGCTTTGGAGAGGAGCTCGAAGGCTCAGGCACACCGCGTCTTATAAACAGGTGCATCACTCTCTCAACTAGCAAGGTGGGACTAAACTCCCACCACGCCGCTGTGCAAGGCCATTGGTCCCGGTTGGTGCCATGAACCGGGACCAATGCCCCTCTTTGGTCCCGGTTGGTGGTATCAACCGGGACCAATGCGCCCTTTTAGTCCCGGTTAGTGCCACCAACCGGGACCAAAGATCTCTGTTTCCCGCCTTTTGGGCTGCTGAAAAGAGGCCTTTGGTCCCTGTTGATGTTACGAACCAGGACCAAAGGGGTACATTCGTTCCGGTTCGTGCCAAGAACCGGGACTAAAGCTTCATGTATATAAGGAACACTTGTGAAAATTTTGGTTTTTATCTTGCAGTTTGCCCCCGACGACGCGCGCGCCTCCTCGACACCGCCAGGATGCCGGATGCCACCTCGTCGCCCCCGCTCCGGAGCCCACGCCGACGCCGTCCGCCGTCGTCCGCCGCCGTCGCCCGTGCGCCCCCGCACGCCGCCACCGTCGCCCGTGTCGTCGTCACCCACCCCCACAGACGCCCTCGCCGCCCCCGCCGACGCCCTAGCCGCCCCCGCCGACGCCCTAGCCGCCCCCGCCGTCGCCCTCGTTGGCCGGCCCCGCTGTGAGCCGCCGCCCCGACTCTCTTTTTTCATTTTTTTTCATATATATATGTATTTTTCCATGTATATATACTAGTAATTTGTGATTTAGGTTAGTGCATTAGATGTTAGGTTAGTGTGCATTTTAGATTAGTTGAATTAGATGTTTTTTAGTAAGTGTTTAATAGAATTAGTTAGAAAAATAATAGAACTAGTTAAACTAGTTTATTTTTAGTAAGTAGTACTTTATTTTATTTATAGTAAGTGTTTAGTTGAACTAGTTGATTTAATAAAACTACTTTATTTTACTATATAAGTAGTTTATTTCTAGTAAGAAAATTAATAGAACTAGTTTATTTTTTTAGTTAAATCAATTATTCCCGCATCGACGTCGATGATGCCTATCCCGCATCCTCGTCATCGACTCAGCGGAGGAGGCCTGCTTGATCAGATGGGCCATGTCCGGGACTAGGCTCCGCCGGGCTAGTATTGGGAGGTGATATCTTCCGGGGGGTGTAGCTTGGTGAGGAGTCAGCCCGTCGTTGACCCGAACAGGGTTTGGTGGCGGTCGCGTGTGCCAGTGACGGTGCCGAAGCTTTCGGACACCGCAGAGGTGGTACGTCACCGTGTCAGCGAGGAGGACGAGCATGTCTATCACTACATGGTTGCATTGGAGGGCAGGTTCGACAATACCTGGCAGGTTCTTCAGGGATCTCACTGCAGCTATGATCCTATGATGGTTCCTTCTCTTTGGGTGTCCATCGCCCGCGGTGATACCCGTCGGGCACTACGGTTCTAGCTGTATTAGCGATGCTATATGTATGATACTATTCAAGGTGTATTAGTGGTAATATTCGACGATGTACGGATGCAAGAGATAATGTAGTTTTTCTTATTGAATGCATGCTAATTTGAATACTAATTTATTTTACAATTTGGTTTTGCTTATTGAATGCTCAAATTGGAAAACTACTCCTACTTTCAGTGCTAAAATTGGAGAGCA